TGTTCTAACAATAGAAAGGAAGGATGGAAGGAGGGAGAGAAGGAAAAGAGAGGAAGAGAGGACGGGCTAGAATCACATGTGTCAAACACAAGGCCCACGGGCCAAATCCGTCCCGCCAGGCCTTGCAATGTGGCCCACACCACGCTGTCATCACTGCACTCCGCTGCGTTTCCATCACAATGACAGTTTATGACTGTTCAGTAAACCATTCGGCCCTCGATTTAGGCTGGATTTTAGATTTTGGCCCCTTCTCTGATTGAGTTCGACACCCCTAGGCTAGATAGTAAACAAATACACTCTTCAGTTCCACCTGGATGCACTGCTAGGAAAGAGAGCACCTGGGACACAATGTGTGCAAGTTGGGGGGCTGTTTCTGGCTGAAACCCCCTTAGCACCCAGCACCCAGGGCAAATGCTTTGGGAAATGGGCTCCACGCTGAGTATGGACTAAAACTGGTATTCTGGAGCCCAAGGATGCAGCAAGTCTGTTGTAAGGAGGAGGGCGGAGAAGGGTTCAGCCACTGACCCGCCAAGGATCCTCCCGGCTGCTCCCAACAGCGACACCTCCTGGCAGCGGCTAAAGCCACAGGCTGGTGGCTGGTCCACAGCCTCAGGCCCCCTCTTTGCTTGGCACTGGAAGCACCATTCATGGGTTTTGGAATATGACATCGTAATTCTTAGATGAAAACTGGAAGGGACATGCTCAAGAAGGAGACACGAGACCCCCATGCCAATAAAAATTAGCAGAGCGCTGGCCCAGTGGCTCAGCTGGTCTGAGTGTCATACCGTGCACCAAAAGACTGTGGGTTTGATTCCCTGTCAGGGCACACACCTGGGTTTCAAGTTCGATCCCCGTTTGGGTGGAATATCAGAGGCAAGTAATTGATGTTTCTTTTTCACATCAATGTTTCTCTCTCCCTCCCTCTCTCTTTTTCCCCCTTTCTCCCCCTCAAAAAATCATAAAACATATCTTCGTATAAGGGTTAAAAAAAAATAGCTGAGGCATCTGAGCGATTCATTAGAAAAATAAAAGAGACATGAACATATCTGCAGCACCCCAAGCCAGCACTCTGGGCCTGAGCTTATACTGGACATCTGAGTCCTGGGAAAACGAGGCAAAGCATAGGTTTATTAGGTATGGAGAGCCATGAGGATCAGAAACAAAGGTCTATGCTTCCTTTATGGCCACACTCAGCCCTGGCATCTTTGCAGGCATGAAGAAAGGTACACATATAATACTTTAATTTAAAAAAAAATGGGAAGGGAAAAAAAAAGCAACCAGAAGAACACCAGCAAGGGAGACCCAGTGCTTTGGGGAAGGCAGGGGAGCTTTTAAACTCCATCACACCCTTCTAATAATGCCTCCACGCCTGCTTTCCCCCAGACAAGCTCTGAGGCCCAGCCCATCACGCTCTCCGGCTCCCCGGCACCCCCAGAGGAGAGGAACCTGTCAGCTTCCCTAAAAGGGAGCGGGAGAAAGCAGCAGGAGTCAAAAGAAAAAGCTAAAGCTGCATCTCCTGCGTTTGAAGGAACCAGGCAGGGGAGAGACAGGGGAGAGACAGGCCCTCGGGGAAGCAGCCCAGGCGCTGAGGGCTGGAAACGTGAAGTGCGGGCGTTTAAATGAGCCGGAGCAGCTCTCTGATCCTCACGCACGTCGAGATGGAAATGGAGGAGCATTTGCAAAAGCGTGAGCTTTCGAAGAATGTGGTTTTTAGGAAGCAATTTTCCCTTCTGCCATGCTTTAGGCTTTGGGGAGAAGCACATTACACCTGGAACCATCCCTTCAGCCTCACCCCCTCCCTCTGGATGGGGCTGGGTTGGGGCACCTGAAGGTAAAACCCCACGGAAGCCCAACTCCCAGGGGACCAGATGCTGCTAGCAAGGATCTCATGGAGATGGATTGGGGGTGGGGGAAGATGAGGAAAAAAGGATAGATTTAAAGATGAATAAACTCTGATCAAAGCAAACACTGCCAGACTACCTCGCAGCTTAAATTGCATTTACCACAACTGATAGGTGGGGGGTAATCATGAGTCAGAGGGCCAGGCTCTGGAAAGCAATCATGGGCTAAATGACAACAGGTCCCACCGGGGAGTCACTGGTTCCCCTTCGCGGGGAAGACTCAAGATAGGCTATGCAACCCATCAATCACACCGAGGCCAGTTTCACCTGTTAGCGTCCCCCCCCCCCAATACTTCAGGATCGGGGTTCCTCCTACAGCCAGATGAGGCTGCAGCACAAAGACCGCCCCCAGCTGACCTCCCAGGCCCGCTGACCTTCACCCCTCTGCGGGATGGCCATTGTCACGTCCCCATTTTGGGGCGACCAGTCAGGTGGTTATCAGGTGAAGGCTGCCCCTAGTTCATTTCTGCCCCATCAGCTGCGGCCGCTATCCTACCTATCAGGGCTGTCTCTCCACACACAAGGTCCCTGGAACCTTTCTACCAGGTCAGTCTGAGCTCCCAAAGAGCACCCAAATCACCCCATTATCTGCAGGTTCCTCTTGCCAACTCCCCAGAACACCCCAAGTTCCCAAGCTCCCCGCTCTTTCTCACTACAGCTTGGCAGGAAAGCAAGGTGATGGGACGAATTCACACCAACCCTGTGAGGAGCCTCTGTTTTCGGAGGAGCAGGCAGGTGCTGCCAAGGCGCCCCTCAGGGCGGGCTTCCAGCCCATGCAGGGGGCATCGGGGACCTCCCCCAGACCTCATGTGCAAGCTGAACCTCGTAAGAGGAAAAGGCTCCTCCCCACCTCCCAGCACTGCCCCTTGGGCGAAAGGTGCATCCACTGCTCCCTCCACAGCTGCTTGGAGCCACCAGGGCACAGGGTTCCCTCTGCAGAGGCAGAGAGTGGTCTGCCTTCAGGCCAAGGGGGACCCTGGAGACCCAGTCCTGCTCCTAGAAGAGGCATCCCTTCCGTTCAAAGACAACGTGGCCTAGGAATTTGGGGTTGCAGACCCAGAGGTCTCCAGGAGAGGTGTTTCCTGGACTCTCTGTTCCCTGAGATCCAACACCCCGAGCAAAGCTCCAGGCTCCCCCACCCCCACCCACATCCTTCTCCTCACCATGTCCACCTCCTGGAGGGGGTCTGTGTCTCCCTGGTTGACTGGCTCCCCAGGTCAGAGCTGTGGGGGGGGGGCCTGCCTCTTGCTCAGGACCCTTCCAGTGTAGACATCCAGACCCCAGCCCACAACTAAGAGGGACTGGATGGAACTGGGCGTGGAAGGAAGAGCCTCAGAGAAGTTGCTCTGCAGAAACACCTGACTCCTGCCCCTAAGACCCACGTGGCCACCTGAGCGCTTCCTCATGGAGCAGGCCACCTGCTTCCAACTTAAAAAAATAATAATAAAATACAGGGGGAAAACTCCCTGAAAATCTTCAGCATGCAAAAGTCCTACTTGTCTTTTTCTTTGGTCCCTCTTAGAGCTACGGTAGTCTAAGGAAAGATAGCAGGGTCCGGGGGAGGGGGAGGTGTCCCCTTCTACCAAAATGAAATTGAAATTGACCAGAACTCAGTTCACCAGCATCCTCAAAATACCAGTCTCCTCTTTCCTGCTCTTTAGAAGCACACTGGGGCATCTGTAAGAAAGCAGGCAATCACACACCCTCACTCACACACCTGTGCAGTGAGCGTCTGCTGGGGGCATGCGAGTCCAGGGGCTGCCAACGGATGCCCCCTCTGAACCTCCAGCCCTGCACCCAGACTTCGCCTCTGAATGTGGCACCAGGGTCGCCTGAGGCAGCAAAGACAAGTCTCTGCTTCTCACAATCTACTTGCTCTATCAGCACCTGAACTCAGTCCCAAACTCTGGAAGGACACACATCACGTTGCTGACAGTGGCCACCGGGGCCAACGAAGAGGAGCGTGAAGAGAGACCTTCTCTTTCCCTCTCCCTCGTTCTGTAGTGCTTAAAACCGTGGTCGGCAAGCTTCGGCTCGAGAGCCACATGCAGCTCTTTGGCTCCTTGAGTGTGGCTCTTCCACAAAATACCACGGCCTGGGTGAGTCTATTTTGAAGAAGTGGCGGTAGAAGAAGTTTAAAAAATGTGGCTCTCCAAAGAAATTTCAATCGTTGTGCTATTTATAGTTGGCTCTGTTGACCAATGAGTTTGCCAACCACTGGCTTAGAAAAACAAAACAACAACAATACAGAAACGAGACTACCTTCAGGCACTCCTTCCAACGTCAGAAGGGGCCGTGGTCCCAAGGGCAAAAGAAGACACTGTTTTCAACACCAGGGCCCAGGCTCAGCAGGTGTCTGCTGGAGGCGGAATCTGGGAGCACGAGGGCCTGCTCCTTCCGTCCACATCAGTGACTGACGGATGGCCCAGAACAGACTCGGGGATTCTGGAACTCTCTGCAGGGCTCGGCCACAGCTCAAACCCTCTCTCTGGTCTCCCCAGTGTTCTGACCTCGATGGCCGAGAGCCTCTGTGTCTCCAGCCCATCCCTCCCCGGACTTACTTAACCCCCTGGGACTTCTGGCAGCGTCTCAGGGCTGGGGAGAAGGCATGTGCCCACTGCAGGCTCACCCCACTCACACAGTGGTATGGACCTCATCCCGGCCACTCTGGGCGCTCTCCCGGGGCACACCGGAACCTTCCCAGCACAGCAGTCACCTGACCAGCTTCTGAAAGACCATGTGTTACACCACATGTGTCAAACACAAGGCCCGCGGGCCAAATCCGTCCGGCCAGGCCTTGCAATGTGGCCCGCACCACGCTGTCATCACTGCACTCCGCTGCGTTTCCATCACAATGACAGTTTATGACTGTTCAGTAAACCATTCGGCCCGCGATTTAGGCTGGATTTTAGATTTTGGCCCCTTCTCTGATTGAGTTCGACACCCCTATGTTACACACAGAGGTCAGTTTCAGGCCAGTCTCTCCAATGCCTGCCCTGCCCGCCCCTCCCTCGGGCTCGGCCCCAGACGCAGCCAAGGTGGTCCCTACCCGCCCCCCCACTGCCACCTCATGCATCTCCCGCCTTCCCGCGCGCCCACCTGCAGATGTAGTTGGTCTTGCAGGAGTCCTGCAGGTTCAGGCAGTTGGGCTTCTCCCGCTCCTCGTAGGAGCACACGGGCACGATGGTCTGCCGCCGGCGCTCGGTGCAGGCGATGTCGCGGCAGGAGCAGAAGAGCATCCCGTAGCTGTGCTTGGCCGGCACCTTGTCGAAGAACTGCCTCAGGGCCTTGTGGCACTTGCGCCGGTTGCACACCTCGTTGGACATGCTGGTGGTGCAGGGGGTGATGTAGGCGGACCGGTACTTCTTGCACGTGTCGTCCAGGTTGCAGGCCTTGGCGGCGTCCAGGCAGTTGTTCCCCTTGGGGATGTGCTCCACTGCAGAGGGGAGAGCAAGGCGAGGCGGGCGTGAGCTCCCCTGTAACGAAAGCACCTCCGGGCCGAGGCCGGTTTGGCTCAGTGGATAGAGCATCGGCCTGTGGACTGAAAGGTCCCGGGTTCGATTCCGGTCAAGGGCATGTACATTGGTTGTGGGTACATCCCCAGAAGGGGGTGTGCAAGAGGCAGCTGGTCGATGTTTCTCTCTCATCGATGTTTCTAACTCTCTCTCTCCCTTCCTCTCTCTAAAAAAATCAATAATATATATATGTAAATAAAAAAAGAAAGAAAGCACCTCCAGGGCTCTCATGGGTACCTTGCATGTACCTGGCAGTGCTCGGAGCTCTGACCGACTCTGTGCTGGGAAAGCTAATCGCTTAAAGAGTTCGGGACCAGGGGCAAATAGCAAGCGTGGAACGCCGGGGAGCCCACCGCGGAACGCCAGCTCCCAGCACTCCCTTCACCGCTTAATTAGGAGGCCCTGACGAGGCCGGAGAGCCGGCGCACCTGCCCGATTGCATGTAAACAAGGCGAGAGGAGGAGACGTTCCCAACTCCTGGTTGGCAAACGGAAACCGGGATAAAAGAAGAAAGCAACAAATTATACACTTGTTCATTACACAGTATATAAAATGATATGCTGGATCTAAGTATAATTGCCATGCAATCCCCCAGGAACATAATTATGTAATAAATGCATATAGTGCATGCTAATTACTATATGATTACCGAGTAATTACGTGGTTATTTGAGCCCAGAAGACAAAATATTATGCTAGGCTCTCTAAACAGGAAGAAACACCAACTCCGGCGAAGCTGTGTTTAAGTTCTAGCTCACAGGCCATTGGAAGGAAACCAGAATAAATTACCTAAAAACGTGCAAGCCTCAATTACCACTTTCACGCACCGCCTCCAGAACGCGGGCTCCTCCGGCACTAAGGTTGCAGATGAGGAAAATCTGGCTAGGATTTTGGATGGAATGGCAATGGGCTTACACACCACAGGCCTTTGGAATCTCTCACAATGAATGCCGCCTTCTTCCCAAGGCCTCTGCTGTCAGGCACCGGGGCTGTCCACTGCTGGGCTGCCCGCCGTGTGACCTGTAGAGAGAGCCTGGTGGAGGCAGGGCCCACCAGGGTGATGGCTGGTGGGCTGACAGAGCCAAGCCCAATGGATAAAGCTGGAAGATGAGTGGACAGCCACCTGGTATGGCTCAGTAGTTAAGCATCAACCTGTGAACCAGGAGGTCACAGTTCCAGTTCCAGTCCCAGTCAGGGCACACACCCAGATTGCAGGCTTGATCCCCAGTAGGGGGCATGCCAGAGGCAGCCAATCAAAGATTCTCTCTCCTCATTGATGTTTCTATCTCTTCCTCTCCCTTCCTCCCTGAAATCAATAAAAATATATATTTTTAAAAAGATGAGTGGACAAGGGAAGTTAAACTCAGTCACCATGATACCGGGGTTTCTATGGGGAGAGGAAGTGGTGGGGAACGTTCCAGTGCCGAATTACAAGTTGGTCCATGGAAAATTGACACTAAGATGTAACAGCAGCCCCAGGAAACAGCAGTGGGGCAGCACAGCACCACACAATTGTCAAATTCGACACCACCACCACCACCCCCATACACACACACAAGCTTGTTCCTGCTCAGGCCTCAGCCCTTCCTTGAATTCTGGCACCTTCTTTCATTCCCTCTATGATCCAGTCAACAAGGACCATAAAGGCATTTGGGAAGTTACAAGAGAATTGGCCACAGAAGAGAAAGATTCCAGGTGGGTTGGGTGGGACTACGATGGAGCCCTGCATTTAGTGTGCATCTAAAGAGCACGTGGAATTTTAAGCAGCCTTAAAAAAAGGAAATCCTGCTGTACGCGATACCAGAAACGAGCCTTGGGGACATTGCGCTGAGTGAAATAAGCCAGCCACAGAATAACAAGCACAGTGTGATTCCACTCGCATGAGGAATCTGAAACACTGAAGCTTACAGAAGCAGCGGGCAGAATGGTCGTTGCCAGAGGCTGGGGTGGGGGAAGGGGGAATGGAGAGTTATTATCAAAGAGGTATAAAATCTCAGTCCTGCAAGACCCGAGGATCTGCTGCATGACTTCATACGGACACTTAACAATCCTATACTGTTCACTTAAAAATCTGCGAAGAGAGTATATCTCACGTTAAATGTTCTTTCCATGAGAAAAGGTTCTAAGTAAGGGAATAAGGGAAGGACACACACAGCAAGCCCAACATTCGTCTCCCTGTTGAACTGACAATGTGGCTTGCTTTAAGAAACCCCAAAATGCAAAAACCTGAAAACTGAGGCGCACCCTGGCAGCACCAGCAGTATTTTGCTATGCTCTGGGCTCCTGTCTCTGCCTGTGACATCCGATGGCAACCAGTGAATGTGGAAGACAGTAAACAACACAGTCCTCCCTTTCCAGGTGAGCCATACAGTGCAAGAGGCCAGCAGCTGTGTGGGCGCCCCCTGATGGTTTAACAAGCCCACGTGGGGCACGTTCCCCAAACTGGCTTCTCCCTGGATCCTCCGCTGTCACACTCGGGTCCTTAGGGCTGGATGACTGAATATTCACCAGGCGCCCTGACAAGATAGATCACTAGGACCTTGCAGCCTTGGTGTCACTTCTAGCCGTTTCCTCTTTTGAGACTTCTCATGTCGTGCTGTTGGGCCCATGGGCAACAGTGATTTCTATTCTGTTTTTAAGAATATATTTTTATTGGTTTCCCTGAGGGAGGGAGAGGTAGGAACATCAATGATGAAAGAATCATTGATCGGCTGCTCCCTGCGTGCCCCTCACTGGGGATCAAGCCTGCAATCTGGGCGTGTGCCCTGACCGGGACTTGAACCATGACCTCCTGGTTAATAGGTCAATGCTCATCACACCGGCTGGGTATATATTCTTAAAGGTCTACAGTTTGCTAGATTTCTAAATTATGCATTTTTATTATCATCTAAAATAAGCTACTATAATATAACCAAACTATACATCACCTAGATTGGCCTTATAAGGATGGATATTGGCACACAGTTTGCTGCATGCAATTTATACTGTGTACAAGCTACTAAAAAGAAAAGAATAGAGGCACAGAGGTGACGTAAACACTTAAATGATGTAGCCAGTGACATCTGAATAAGCAGTTCATGTGCATTTAAATGGAGAAAATGGCAGATGAATTAAGTTATCGCATGGCGCCCAGTTAGATAGACCAGCCAACCTGAAAGAAAGAATTCATGCTGAAAGAGGGTGCCACCCACTGAGTGTAAGCACCAATCTAGCTTCAGCAAACAATACCATCCTTTACATTAAGCTAATGTAATTAACTTGCACTTAATGGTTTTCAAAGTTTTGCTCATCCTTAATTTGTGTGCATTGCTTTTATGGTTATATAACAGCAAAGAATAAGAACTTACAGGTTTTTGTTTAGAGATTTCAAATAGAATTGTAACAAAACTAGTAAAACACAACAAATAAGGTCCGGAAAATGTGTTTCTCCTGAATGCAGCCCACATAATACACAGGTTTTAAAAAATTGGCCTGGAAGAAAGCTCTTCTCCTGGGTCTTCACAATGATTTTTTGGATATAACACAAGCAGCAGAATAAAAAATGAGCAAGTAGGATTACAGCCAACCAAAAAGCTTCTGCACAACAAAGAAAACCATCAACAAAAGGAAAAGGCAAACAAATGGAGAAATTATTTGCAAATGATGTATCTGGCAGGGGTTAATATCCAAAATATATAAATTCATATAATTCAATAGCAAAAAAAACCCCAAACCCAACAACAAATATCAACAACAAAACAAACAAACAAAACCCATCCTATAATAAATAAAAGGCAAATATGGAAAATGTTTCCTATGGAGTTCAACTGGGAGACCAAGAGTTCCATTGCTTGCTATGACGTGCATTGACCGCCAGGGGGTGGTGTGGAACATGGCAGGCAACCAGTGAGGGCAGGGTGCTGAGGGAGGGAGCAAGGGAAGTAGGAGGTGAGGAGACAGAGAAGTGGGGAATCTGATAGGCCCGGATTGCCAGCCAGGCTTGGAGGCACTACCAGTGCATGAATTTTGTGCACTAGGCCTCTAATTTAAAAAAACAAAACAAAAAAGTGGGCAAAGGAACTGAATAGATATTATCCAAAGAAGATATTCACATGGCCAAAAGGTACATGTAAAGGTGTTCAACGTCACTAATCATTAGGGAAATACAAATCAAAACTACAATGAGATACCACCTTACACTTATAAAAATGGCTATCATTAATAAAGCAACAAACAAGTGTTGGTGAGGATGTGGAGAGAAAGAGAAGCCTCCTGCACTGTTGGTGGGATTGCATGCTGATGCAGCCACTATGGAAAACAGAAGGAAAGCTCCTCAAAAATTTAAAGTAGAGCTACCTATGACTCAGCTATTCTACTCTGGGTATTTATCAAAATAAAATGAAAACACTAACTCCAAAAGAGCTGGGTACCCCCTGTGTTCACTGTAGTATTACTTACAATAGTCAAAACATGGGAACGACTTAAGAATCTGTCAACAAATGAATGGATAAAGAAGATGCATCTAGGTATACACAATCATATACTACTCAGCCATGGAAAAAGAAGAAAACCCTGTCATTTGTGACAACATGGATGGATCTCAAGGGCATTATGCTAAGTGAAATAAGTCAGAAAGACACAAATACTATTGTATATCATCTCACTTATATGTGGAATCTATAAATAAATAAATAAATCTCAAGAGAAAACATATCATATTTATGGTCACCAGAGGCTGTAGAAGAGGGTGGGGGGATTGGGTAAAAGTGGTCCAAATGATCAGATAATCCCATTATCAGATAATAACTCATGAGAATGTAATCTACAACTGATGGCTACAGTTACTACTTCCCTGTGGTTTTTGTGAAACAGCCCATGTACTCATCAACAGGAAAACAGCTAAAACTGTGGTCTATCAACACAATGAAATACTACCCAGAAAC